ATCACACTAGCCACCTGCCAAGATTTTTTGAGAGGATTAAAGCGATGTGGACTGTGAAGGCCCCAGCATGGAGCCTGGCACAGAGCGAATCACCTCTGGTCATTCCTTCCTTCCCAGAACACGATTCCACCTGATCACCAGCACCCTGGACAGAGGTGCGCCCTGCGACATGCAGGGGTGACTGAGAGCGCTTTACCTGTGCTCTCACCTGCGTGAGAAATCTCCGAGCTATTTTAAATTTCTCCTGTTCAGGCCGGGCGGTGGCTCACGCCTGTAATCCTAGCACTCTGGGAGGCCGAGGCGGGCGGATTGCTCGAGGTCAGGAGTTCGAAACCAGCCTGAGCAAGAGCCAGACCCTGTCTCTACTATAAATAGAAAGAAATTAATTGGCCAACTAATATAGAAAAAATTAGCCGGCATGGTGGCGCATGCCTGTAGTCCCAGCTACTCGGGAGGCTGAGCCAGAAGGATTGCTTGAGCCCAGGAGTTTGAGGTTGCTGTGAGCTAGGCTGACGCCACGCACTCACCTACCCTGGGCAACAAAGTGAGACTCTGTCTATAAAATACATAACATAAAACATAACATCAACAAACAAAATAAAATAACAAATTTCTCCAGTTCAAGGATTTCACACGCCACCAGGGCTCCGACAAGCAACTCGAAGAGAAGCGGCGAGTTTAATGCCACACTTTCCCACCAGGTGGCGCTGCACGTCAAACGTTCCCTCAACTCTCTCCAAAATACTTATTTCTAACGCAGGAAACGGACTGAAGCCCCTTGGAAGAGCAAAGAAAAAAACGATGTCACAAAAAAAGATGATTTATTGCTAATTCCTCCCCAAAACTCTGAATTCACCATGGGGTGAAGCGCTGACAGGGAGCCGCGTGACTGGGACAGCCCCGCTCTCAAGGGCGGCGATCTCAGGACCCGACAGCACTTTGCTCGTGAAGCACCGAATAGTCTCCAACTACTTTTTTTTTTTTTTTTGAGACAGAGTCTCACTTTGTCGCCCGGCTAGAGTGAGTGCCGTTTTTTCTATATATTTTATAGTTTTTTCTATATATTTTTAGTTAGCCAATTAATTTCTTTTTTAGTAGAGACGGGGTCTCGCTCTTGCTCAGCTGGTCTCGAACTCCTGACCTTGAGCGACCCTCCCGCGCCGGCCTCCCAGAGTGCTGGATTACAGGCGTGGGCCACCGCGCCGGCCTCCAACTCATTTTCACGTCTGCTTTTTGTCGTTCAGCGAAGCTCGTGCCCGTTTGTTTCCCAACAGCTGTTCGTATGTGTGGCGGACGATTAAGCCAAGGGAAGGCGGCACAAGCCGCGGAGACGCCGGCGTCCGACCGGCGCGACCCGCGGGTGCCGGCGCGCACGCGGGGACCCCACGGCGGCCCGCAGCCCGGCCCTTCGGGGCTGCCCGTCCCGCGTGCCGCCGCCCCTCAGCCGGCGCCGCGGCCTCGCGCCGCCCGCTCCGCCCGCACTCACTCACCGTGGCCGCGAGCGTCGGGCCCGGCGCCGCCGCGCCGCCAGAACGCGT